TAACCAAAAAAAAAAACAAAAGCAAAACGCTTATCAGACAACATAAATTCATAAGTTTTGACAAAACACTGGCTCATTATCATTATCAATATATTTTGTGTGACGTTGTTGTTGTTGTTGTTTACCCCACACCCTTCCCTTAAATAAATAATGATGAGATACAGACGACTTCGCTGAGTAATATGCGCAAATATGATAATAAAAAACAGAGAAGAAAGAAGACTGAACAGCAATTAAATCAAACGGAACACACAAATGAAATTAACAGAAAATGAAAATGGAAATGAGTACGGAGCGAACAATCTCTCTCTCACTCTCAGAGAGTGTGCGAGTGGGCGGTGGGGGGCTGTCAGTGCCTTGCGCTCCTTTACACCCGCATAGCGTACGCACTGCAGCACTAATACACTTGCATTCACAAATGGTTGTGCATAATGCTGACTCACTCGCACATGTGCCACAGTGACTGACGCTGTCGCTGCCACTGCCGCTTGGCAGGGGGCGCTGCCACCACCAACACCACCAGCACAACAGCAACAGCAGCAATGGAAAGACAGTGAATGAGAGAGAACGGTATATAGAGAGAGAGAGAGAGAGAGCGCGCGCACAGCGTGATGTGCGAGCGCATGGCCACAAAAATGATCGCACAACACTTTCAAGTACAACGCCAAAGCAAGCAGCAAGCAGCAACTGCCGGAGGGGCCGAACAACTAGCAGCCGAACCGAGCCGCCCGCACGCCGCATAAATAATTACAATAAATTCAATAATAATTATCAATTAATTCAATAAAAAAAACGAAATCTAATAGTTTTCTAATACCTAACAAGTGAAACACTATTTTTATTTAATTAAATTTAAATAAAATTCTAGTGATTTGCAATTACATAAATTAAGTTACAACAACAACGGCAATTGCAGAAACAAAATAAAAACGTGTTGCGGAAGTTGGCCAAATACGCAAATTTTCCCTTGCTCAGTTTTTAACGCGCGACTGAAAATTGAGAAAAAAGAGAAATAGAGAGAATGAAAGATAGAGAGATAGAAAAGCCGTATTAAATCATCAGTAAAAATAGATAAAAGACTCAAAGCTAACGGTACTATGAGCACAGCTGTTTGAACAACAACAAAAGACCAAACAACACGCACCAAATCACAAAACCACAACAACAAAATCAAAAGCCGCAACTGATAATTAATATGTACGAGAAAACATTAACAATAGGAACTGCAAAAGTTAATAATGCATATGAGTGGAAAAAAGTGAGTTACGGTAAAAATCAAGCGGCACCGGCAGCGGCAGTGACGTCGGCGTCGGTGGCTAAAGCCAAGCAAAAGCAGCAGAAGCATAAAATACCATTAACAATTAATTCAAAAAATTTAACAGAAACGCAAATAAAACAATCAAATTTGAGCCCCAACAAAACTACAACAAAACCTATAACGTATTTTAAGCCGGCGACGCAAACGCCGCAAATTAAAAAATACGTTGGCAACGCGGCACGTCGCCAAACGCTTGCGCACCAAATAAAGCGTGCACATCGCCATCTATTGACAAGCGGCGGCAACGATAGGCAACCATCAAAGCAACAGCGTAATAAAAAACAAAAATGTACATTTAGTATAGAATGAAAAGCATGTTCCGCTCTTTTTAGACAAATATTCTTTGCATTCTATACAAAATTATATCAAGTGCACAAGGCAAATGTAGTAGTGTTATTTCATATAAGCTTTGCCATGTGCACTTGCCTGGTCATACTTTTTCTCAGCTATCGATATTGGTATATGCAAATCAGCTGATTTGCACGATATTTTTATTGAAAATATCGATATCGATATATAGTAATATCAACAATTCCATATAAAGCAGGTAGCAGCGCAGCTGCTGCAGGACAGCAGACAAAAACAACAAAACAGCAGCAGCAGCAACAGCGCAACAAACGCATAATTAATGCAAATAAACAGTCCCACAGCCACAAAAGTGAACAACAAAAACACAAGCAAAAAAAGCAATCAATTAGCAGGCGTGGCAACAACGACGGCTACAAATCAGAGCTCTCTTCCCGTTGGGGCTCCATCGAGGAGCAACTGAATGTGCTCGACAAACTTCTCCACTACGATGAACAGGCGGAGCTTTATCTAGCCCAGCTCTATAATAACTATCAACAGTTGCAGCAATCGGAATCGGAGCTATCGGACGATTGGAGTTGGAGTGATTCCGATATGGATATGTCACTGGGCAACAGTGCTGACGACGATGCGCTGTCCAGCACAAGCGGTGCGGGCAGCCACAGCACCAATAATTCCCATTCGAATGCATCGCCACTTGTGCCGTCTTCGCTTAAGCGCCGCGGTCATCAGCATCATCCACGCTTTGCCGGCACACGGCGTCCCAATGTGCCCAATGTGCAGGAAATACTGGCCGCCCTCTATCGCGGCGACTCTAAAGGTGTGCTCTCCAATCTGCGTGGCGAAACAAACTCGCAGACGCAGCCACCATCAGGGGATCAGTCAATTGCTAGTCGAAGCACGCTCAGCCTGCCTCTAACCGAATCGGTAACAAATTCTTTGGGCAGCAACAGTCCTACTCCAACCGATGAGAGCAGCATCCTAGATGAAACAATCCCAGCAGCAACGTCAGCAACTACAGCTGAACAAGATCCGTCTACTACCAGTGGTAAAAAGAAGAAGAAGCGCGATAAAGGTGACAGAGAGAAATCGGAGCGCAAAAAGAAATCCTCTTCATCAGTCGGCGGTAAACGTGAGAGAATTAAACGACAGAGCGGAGGTGCTGGCATAATGGATGTGAGCAGCGATAGCATTGCTACAGATCTCAGTGCGGGTGCGATTGATGAGGGTATTGTTCTGAACACTGAGGATGAGGATACACAGGCGCAGGAATGGGCAAAGCTGCGTTGCACCAGCGAAGCCGCAGAGATTGTTGCCGAACGAGAGGCGCGTCGTAATAAAGGACGTTGCGCTGACTACCCGGGTCTGGCATTTGGACGCTCCATCTTCAGCTCCGACACAATGATGAAGTTCAATATCATTCGGAACGAGCTGCACAACATAATGAACACGCAGCTGAAGCGGGTAATTAGCTGTGGGCTTGCCTAATTGATAATACACAAACTTTACTCATTTATTTGCACTAATCATATTTCTATTTTTCTCTCTTCAAGCTGCCTTTGTTGTCGCTCCTTCCAGAAAGCGATAAAAAAAAACAAACAAAAGCTAAACAAAAAGTTTGGTTAGGTTCAGAGCGATTTTTGTCTATTCTATCTATGAATGCTCCAAATTTGTTCTTTTTGTTCTCTTTTCGGCACATACACACATGTGTAATATGTGTATATGTGTGCATTGCAAAGCGATTACGTCGCCGTCTTCGTTTTGCTTTCTTCGTCACTCGCCGAATTCTTTTTCTGCTTTAACCCTTCACTGGCCCGCCGAGTCGTATGTCATTGCAATTGTTCGCAACTTTTGTGAAATCTTGACCCCGTTTACGCATACATACATATGCACATTCTACGGGTTAATCACTTACCAACTGTCGTGAAGGTTTTTCTTTATACTCACTCGCACACACACAAACACGTACGCACATTTGCTTTCTTATTACTCAGCGCAAAACTATTTCAACTGTTTATCTAGCTAAAACAGAAACATTTTTATTTACTTAATTGCAAGCAATTGTTTAATCAGTTACGCAATTGTGCTCTCAGTATTTGGTACATTGTTTGACCGGTTAACGGTAAACTCGTGAGCACCTGTTGCACTAACTCTCGAAGTGTGGGTGTCACTCATTCTACCACTCTCCCAAAAAGGTAGCAGATAAAAAAACAGACCAAATGTTACAACTGCTACAATTATCTGTGTTTATGCACACCCGCACAGACACAGAGTTATTTTAGTTGTGGAACTCCATAAAAAGCAACAGTTGATTTACAGCAGCTAAAAAAAATATAAAATTATACGAATACATTTTGTAGCCAAAAACGTATTTATTTTCAAACTTGGCTCGCCAATTATTATTTATATTAAATTAAACGTATTCTCAGTTTTCTACGTGTTCTCATAACCGCTGCAAAACGCCAATGACCTTCGTTATACGTGTGTGTGTGTACACCCCACTTTGGTAGTGTGCACATTTATGTGGCACTGACGTTTACTTTTAATTTCTTTTCAATGCCGCACACTTGCCAAAAATGGGCAGGCGTGCTTATTTTAATTGAAATTGACCATTGGCAGTCGTCGTTTGTATTATCAACAATTATGTCATTTGCCAAATACAAATCGCTTCTCCACTTGTTGCTAGCGCGCGCCCTCCCGCTGCCTATCGTTATCGGTATCGAGCTTTGTACAATCGTCAACTGTCACTGACTAGGACCACATGCGAACGCACAGCAACAACAACTACAACCTGCTACGAACACTACACTACAGTGTCGCAGCGACGACTGATTAGTCATTTGTGCCGCTCCTGCTTGCGTGTTGATAAGCCTGATAGAGCACCGGCATTATATGCTGTATTATACAATTATCTTGTTTGTTGCCAGGGGTAGGTGGTGAGTGCGGAGGATTCAGAAACACTCACTCACACACACGCAAACATTATATTTTTGATGACAGGTCGCTTACTCATTCCTACTGGTATATGGGCAATTGGCCAGTCGTCGTTTTTGCTCGCAATTTTGCATAATATTAATTGTATTGGAAAAATAAGACAAAAATCTCAAATATTTCTTCACTAATTAATGCAAACAACAACAAACATGTAGACTGAATTTTTAGCGGCTTTAACAGGTTTTCCAGCGGGAAAGCCGCATATACACACTGGTTAGCGCACTCGCACTCACACACATGTACATATGAACGACACGACACGACACATAGGCGAGGCGCTGCCAGACTGGAAAGTCGCACACACACATACAGCAGTTGTCTCTTTCACACAACGTAGAAACCACCACCGCCACTTTGTAGACATGAGCATGCAAAGTGTTTCAGCGGTTCATTTCCAGTTACGTACTCACAAATGCCAGTCGCAGAATCGCGTCGTTTTATCGTCTTCGTTTCTCCGTGTGTGTGTAGTTTCTGTGCAGCTTACTGCTATTAAGTATTAATATTAATATTGTTATAACATAAGGTTATACTTTAACTATAAATGTGTAAAAAGTGTGCTCGAATCTAATCGACCCTACACACAAAATCCAAAAGGAAAAAATACGACAGCAGCAGAAGCTACGAAGCAAACCAGTAAAAGAAGAAGAAAAAGTAGTAGAAGAAAGAAGAAAAAAACCGGTGGTTAGCGCATACTCTTGTCTGTGTCGTCGCTTCGTTCGGTCGTTCGTTCTATTACGTGCGTGTGTTGGTGTTTCACAGTTTATAAATTAAATATATTCTGGTGCTGCCATATCGAAAGAAATTTGTATTTTTAATAAATACAAAATAACAGGCAAAAGCCAATACAAGTGTGCTTCAGTGTCAACTGCCAATCGCGAATCGCCAAGAAACCGGCTAAAAAGCGATTTCTCAACAGTCTCTGCCCACCAACGTAAAGTCCAACTGTAAACACTTACCACAAACCACCACAAGTCCAAAAAACAAGCACAAAAATGACGACCAGCATTCCACAAGGTACACTTTTGGATGTACTCAAGAAGAAAATGCGTCAGACCAAAGAAGAAATGGAAAAGTATAAAGATGAATGCGAGGAATTTCACAAGCGCCTGCAGCTTGAAGTTGTCCGACGTGAAGAAGTAAGCATCAGGACATAACAATTCAGTTGAAAACAATATACATCTACTTGCTGCTACTTTTGGTATAAACATTTTACATGAGAACTGAACCAGCGCTCGCGATTAGTCCAGCGCAAGCATTTCTTCGTTCTGAGCAGTGCCAACGTTTTCAATGCAAATACATGCTCAAGTACACAGATACTGTGAATGACATACAAATACAAACACTAATGCAAGTTCACTGACAGACTGTCACAGAAAAATACGCTCTCACTCTTTGCGCGCTCTTGTACTCTCTCAGTTGCTCTCTCGCTCCCTCTCTCTATCTTTCATTTGTGTTGTTTTGTTCCTCCATGGTTTTCCTGTCTTTTTTATTAGACTATCTTTTGTTATTATGAATTTCAATTTGTTATATACATATGTACACACAGGGTGCTTCTGTTTAATTTGATCACTTTTGATATTTCGTACATTCTAAACTATTGTGATTTGAATGATCAAAATTCATTCACCTTTCAAAATCTATGCTCGCTGTCTTATCGAAAAATGGGGCACAAACATACAGCATTACATTAGCATATCAGAAGAAAGAGCAATCTATAGAGTGAAAACACAAGAAAAGAAAGAAAAGAACTGAAACTGGCTACTCTATTCAGTTCAAAGCCATTGCGTTTAGTTAGCGGTTTTCTAAATTCGATCAATTATGATTTTAAGCCATGTGTGTGTGCTATTATTTTTTTGGCGCAAGCTTAATGTGCACTTAATTCAATTTTAATTAGACAATTGCGCAAGCAAGGGCCTATAAATTTATATATACAAATGATGTGACATGTGTGTATATTAATATATTTGTGTGTGTCTGTAGTGGTTTCATACGCTGCCCTGCAATGACAAAGTGGTTGACGTCATTTTTTACGAAGAAGTTTGAAGTGGTTTGGTATGGTCCTTCGATATTTTATTGTTAAATAATTGCAAAGCTGTAACGGCACTCCCCAAATTCAAAATTAGTTTAATTTTGAACATTCTCATTCCTGTTTTGTAGCTCATTTTGTTTGTCATCTATGCGCCGTTAGTTGATAGATTTTGCGCTCATTTTTCCACGCTTTTGTCAAGTGATTGACGTTTAGTTCAGACCCCTTCGCCTGCCAGTTACACAAAAGCCAAAACAAAGCATAATGTGTTTTGTTGTTTTACTTTTTTAGACTATGCTTTCAATGTCATTTTCGTGGCCCCACAGCATTCATTCTCTCTCTCCCCTCCACGCACTCTCTTCCTTTTTGCTGTTTATGAAATTGAGTACTGATAATTTCAATTGTGACAAATTGGTTTAGATTTGTTGCTTTTGGACAGATTCTCTCTCTCCCTCTTCTATTATATTTCGTAATTTCGTGAACTGTCAGACAGTGTGAGTTTACAACATGCATACATACATGACAGTAGCTAAATGCTGTACAACTTTAGTGTATTTTATGCTTGAGAGATCGCTACTTTTACGCTTTACAAGGTGGAAGTGGTCTGCTTACATTTTTATGGCTTATTTTCGGGTTCATAATTAAAAATGCATCATATATAACATTTAAACACACCCTACGCACTCGAACGTAGTCTTTCCTTTATTGTTGTTGGTATAATTTTTTTTTGTTTCGTTGCCACAGCAATTCAAGTCAAATAAAAAATTCAAGGTGTGTGTGACTAAGCCGTCAAAACTTTTTTTTATTTAATTTCTCTGCTATGCAGCTTTTGCATACTCATGTCTTTTATTATTTGTTTTTTTTTTTATTGTGCGTTTTGCCGGCAATTTTTGCCTCACCCCACCCCGAAACCAGTTCTGTTTAGCTTTGCATTTCTTTTCGAGTTGCGCTAAAAAAAGGCGTTTAATCTTCAATACGTTTTGTTAATGAGTTCAAAGCAGAGACCAGAAATTTGCTTAGGTCCATCTCTGTCGCACACATTTAACGTACGCGACTCCCGCTATTTTTAAACGAAACGAAACTCAAGCTGAGTATTTTTCTTTTTTTTTTTGGCATTTTTTTTGCTGTTGCTTCATCAACGGTTTTGTTGTGTGACTTTCGTATGTGTTTTGGAAAGCTTCGCTGTTTGCCCCTATACGATTTTTTATCGTTAAATTTACGCTACACACACATGTCTCTGTATGTGTGTGTTTTGTATGCTGCCTGTCTATCGACTGTTTGGACGATGACGTAAGCTAAAGCGGCGGCGCGGTTGGTTTTGGTTCCAATTCATAATCACACGATACTTTTACGACGCGCGTCCGTATCGTTCTAAGCGTCACCCATACAACTCAATGCTATGTATGTGTTTGTGTTTGTGCATTGCAGCGTACTGCAAAATCACGAATATAATCATCCCGTGTCGACTGGATCTGGACTGCCTTGTCCAATTGTGGCCGCTTTTGGTCAAAGCCGTTTTTAACCATTTTTGGGCGTGTGCTGAGCTGAGCTGAGCTAAGCTGCAGAAACATTTAATTCATTTGTGTTTTCAACATTTATCTACCCATCCCACTCGCTCTCTTTCTCTCTTTCTCGTATTCTATAAAAGGCAATCACATGCGACGGTGTCAATGTCAACTATTTTCCGTTCTTTAATGGGTATATGCTTAATGCTTCGTTTTCTGTTTTTGGAAAATACTGTTGGTGGGAAAAACTGGCCGCTAAAGATTGAAATTACAATTTTTGACAAGGTTGTTTCACAAAGTGTTGACGTCATACTATGTGTGCGTGGCTTGATTAGCTGTTGCCTATTTTTCTGGGCTGGCAACTTGATACAAGTGTAATCAATATGTGGATACCCCTAATAATTGTCCAGAACTTTGACAGAACTTTGACAGGCTTCGTGCTGTTGAACTGTAATCGATTGCACACGCAAACAAACATTTTGTTGGTAGCTTTGGGGCGTTGACGCCGGCAACGGCGACCTTGTTAGTTAATGTGCCAAAATGCTGAAGCTTGTGCTGATACTTACTGAGACGGATGGAGCGACAAAAAGGTGGAAGAAAACGCAAAGAAGAAATCTCTAATTTCAGATGGAACATAAGCTGCGGTCGCAAATAGTTCAATTTGGTTAATAAGAAGTTTAAGGTTATATTTGTTATGAGAGAGCGCAAAAATTAGGAAAAAATTCAGATTATTTTATTTATACCAAAAGTAGCACAGTTTATATATAACGTTATATCGGTGTATTTTTTGCTTTAGATCGTAAGACTTTAAGTTAGAATAATAGTATATTTTTAAGCATTCGTACGTTTGCTATATTGTTTTGTTCGTTCGAACATCGAATATCTATTTTATAGGCCGAATCTGAGGTCGCTGCATTGAACCGTCGCATTCAACTGCTCGAAGAAGACTTGGAACGCTCTGAGGAGCGTCTGGGTTCCGCCACAGCCAAGCTGTCGGAAGCCTCTCAGGCCGCCGATGAGAGCGAACGGTTAGTACAAAATTTTTTTATTATGTTTGATCCCTTTTGTTATTCTTAATGTGAAACTGTATACATTTATAATAAGTCTACAGCATATATAAGCAACTTAAGTATCCAGCTCAAGTTCTATCTACGGTATATGTATATTTAAAATGCTTCTTTATAATTGCTTTTGAAATTTAGGATACGAAAAGCGCTTGAAAATCGCACAAATATGGAAGATGACAAAGTAGCTCTATTGGAGAACCAATTAGCGCAAGCAAAATTAATTGCAGAAGAAGCTGATAAGAAATATGAAGAGGTATAGTTATCTATTGCTTTGAACTCAACTTTGAAAAAAAAAAAATATACGTTTAGGGAATTAGGGTTAATAGGGTTATCTTCTCGTCGTTTTCTTTTCTATTTGTTTTACTTTTTGTTCTGGTTTTGAGGTTAGGTGCGTCGAAATTACCGTTACTAATTAGGTTATGGGTTATATATACTGCGCTCTCTTACAAACTCTAAACATATATATGAAATAATTATAGGGTATATTTAAGAACTCTTAATCACTTGTAAACAGCATTTAGCTCTTAAGCTCAACGTCGACCGCAGCCAACAGGAACAACAACATCGTAATCAAGAACAACGTGGATCCAGTGGAATATATATATTGTATATATATTAATAAAGTTTTACGTATATACACATTGTTATATAAATATGGCATGTGTCTAGCTTATAGTAGTGCCTTAGTAAATCGCTGTTTAAATATCTATGTTAACAACATTTGTCTGTATGTGAAAAAGAAGCTCAAACATTGCTTTGTGTCTTGAATCTGTGTCTGAATAGAGAAAATAGATTTGAATTTATACACTTGCCCCAAGAAACGCTTCAAGCTGCATTTAATTAGTAAAACAGCAACTGTAAAACATATTTATGTAAAATATTTCACAAAAGAAAATACTAAAAGTAATTTCATAAGGAAAAAACTCTACACAATATAACAAACTCTTCAAAATAGTTCAACTGTTGAGCTTGAAGTAAAATAAATTTAAAGAAGTACACAAAGCACTGTTTCAGCTATTCGTAACTATTTGTATCTTTTTTATATTGACTGAACTGTAAAACTCAACCAGCAACAACAAATTCTTGTTTCTTTTTGCAAAATTCTCTAAATCTTGATATGTACTATGGAACTCCTAAAACAAAAAAAAAAACCGAATCAAAACTTAATCTTTCAACATAATTTATGTTCGAAATTGTGTCTACCTGTGTGTACCAATGCGCATCCATGTGTTTGTCATATTCTCCAACAACTCGACAACAACAACAACTACACTTTCTACACCGATGTGGATGCGATGACGTCGAATGATTCATTCAATTTTGGGGCTGTACGCAACGACAAATCATCGATATAACAACTTGGTCACTGTCTTCTATGGGCATGGTCGCAACGTGGTCATCCTATAATTTATTATATACTGATGTATATATTCACTATATATGTGAATATATATAGTGCTCGCAAGATTCTTGAGAATCGCGCCCTTGCCGATGAAGAACGCATGGACGCTCTTGAGAATCAGTTGAAGGAAGCGCGTTTCCTTGCTGAGGAGGCTGACAAGAAATACGATGAGGTGCAGCTAAATACCAATTTAATTAATTTAAGCAATAATAACAACAGTAACAGTAACAGTAAACCATGTCACCCAAATCAAAAAACAAACACAACAATAACCAACAACAACAATAACAATGCAAATAGTACTGCTGCTGCTGTTGGTGAAACTTCAACTTTGTCCTCCACAACTCCACACAGCGAACACAACAATAATGCCCATAAAACTAATGATACTTGATCCGTCCACTGATTTCTTTGCCAAACAAATTAAGTTTTCTTCTATTTCGATTTTGGCCTTTATTGAGCCTGCAATGAAATTTTGGCACAGGAATCAGTGAAGGCAAATATTGGTGCTGATATTGGAAAATTTGTGCTAAAAATCAATGCTAATGATGATGATAATGAATATTGATGATGATTATGTTGATGATGATAATAGTGCAGCTAAAGCAATAAAAATAAATGCTGGCATGCCGCTGCCTTAGCCGCCCGTTGGAAGATAAACTTCTAATATATATATATATATATATATATATATATAAATATATATGACATATAAAAGAAATTAGCTGCTGTATAAGTTGATCCATTCTATTTGTGTATATATATATAAATATATATATATTGAATATAATTTTTCTTGGAATATAACGTCTGAACAAAGTCTTGTTAAAAAAAAATCTAAATGTAACTGATTAAGCGATTAAAAAAAATTGTTGATGTACTCATGATGTGCTCGCAAGCAATAAAATAACAATTGATATCTATATACATATATAAATCATATCCCAACTTAAAGGAAAAGCAAATCGTTTTTATTGGCCCTTTAAAAAATATTAACTCTATATAAATACTTTTTTCTATTCTATTGTATATCTTATTGTACAAATTTAGTTGGGTTTATTTTGGAATATTTTATGTAAAAATTATAAACAAATGCAAAATGTAAAATGTAAAATGTAAAATGCAAATGTGTAAAGCGTAAGCAGATTCTAAAAAAAAAACAATTAGTTCACAGCTAATGCATATAAACTTGATATGTAACACTTATTAAATTTAAACGAATTATAACATTTTTGCAATAAAGTTAACAACAATAAAAATGATCTATATCTAGACAATATATATATATATATTTAATTGCGCAGAAATTTGTTGCTTTCATCTTGAGGCCGTTGTACATTATAAAGAACGAACAGTTAGGAGCACCGTCCAATTACAATGTATAGTTAGTTTATCTGTCAAACATCTACAGTCAAAATGGATGGAAAATGATGTAGCAAAAGAAGATAATTATTTAGAGATTATTTAATGAGAATTTCTTGTGATGGATATATATTAATATGATAATATCAAATAGTATATTATTATATCACAGTCTAATAGGATTTTCAACTGATCGATACCTACCTTGGAAAGGGCTATGTTATATATAGCTGATATAACATTTATCTGCAGACTCAACGTACTATTAAATCATTCTCTATTGATTTTGGCAATACAGTTTTTGTCTGATCTATTAGATGCAGACGTAACATGGACTAGCTCGACTGGCTTTTTGCTGGACACGATTTAGTATAAGCCGCAACATTAATTTATTGTGTTAGCACATATGATTTTGCTTGCTGCCTACGTGTTTCGTACGTCAATCGAATCAGCTAAATAAAGCAGGCTAAATTGATAAACTACAAAAAATACGATAAGCAACCCACCGACTGACTGCATACCGCCTATCTATCAATCCATATATACATTTGTTTCGCAGAAACAGAAACTGTGAAACGGAAAGCAAAGGAAAGGAAACCAAGAAAACGTTGACTGATAAGCGAAACGGGAAACTTCGTATGAAACTTATACCATCATGCCCCGTTAATTTGTATATTTAGCGCTCTTCGGCTCATGACATAAGCAGCTGCAAAAAAAAAATGAAAGAAAAGAGTGTTGCCAAACGCTTCGATGATGAATCAAAAATTTAGTTGACCCAAGAGTCTCACCTACACATATAAGCATATGTTTGTATGTGTACTCAAGAGTGTGTAAGCCACGCACCGCTCTGGCATATGCAGACGTATCTGTGCAAAGGTCTGTGTGTGTGTTTGTAAAACCCCCGCTCTTCATGGGACTATGACTCACACCCACTTTAGCTGGCCATGCGTATGCGTATCCGACTCTCTTCAAGCTAGAAGGGGAGTTGCATATTCTGGGCATTTCAATGCTTGTTGCCTTTTGGCATGCTTTTAAAATATGCCGAATATTTGGAATGAAACGTTAATGATGCATTAGTTTTAAATATTTGTGAGCGTGCACAGGAAAGTCAGACTTGGTCAGCCTATAATTGACATCCATAGAAGTAGCGCTGTTCGCATATCAAAATTCATGGTGCCTACAGCTGCGACTTCTGTCTACCAAATTGGCAAACTCAATTTCCTCAACAGGCTCGATTTTTTGGCGAAACATATTCATTTCATTATCGGCTTATTAATTTGTAATCTAAATTTCATTTGTTAGTCACAAATTTTTAATGGCCAAGCCAAATATGTAGGAAATCTTTTTCGTTTCCGTTTAGTAACTAACAAGAATTTTGAGAGAACCATCAGATTTCTTCCAATCCAAAGTTTTTTTTAATACAAATCAAGAAAATGAATTTAATTTCCTGTTAAAAAAGAACAGGAAGTAGAATAATCTTTACATAGGTAGCACAATTCCTCTGCTTTTATAATGTACAACTGAAGCAAAAAGAAAGCATAATTCATTCTGTTCGTTTTTAAATATAAAACTATTTTTAAGTACATAAATTTGAGTACATTATCAATTGAACTAAAGCTGAAAAGTCTGGGAAGCAACGATATGAGCACAAATTGTCATCCAACAAAAAACTACAATAAAACACATAAAACACATAATAAATGAAATCATAACATATTAACCTTTTGTCTAAGACTAATAAAAAAAAACCATAAACTGTAAATTTCATCAATCCGATTGTTAATACTAACTGAATTAGTGTTAGATATATATACATGAAATTTAACACATTTTCTATGTTCTTTGTGTATATTTGATGAACGATGACGATTGTAAAATTATGTACAAATATCAACAATATATATATACACTATATATAAAAATATAAATGAAAGGTTGCCCGTAAATTGGCCATGGTTGAAGCCGATTTGGAGCGTGCCGAAGAACGTGCCGAACAGGGTGAAAAGTACGTTGAAAAACATTTGTTTTAAATATGAGTTAAATGTTGCGCCAAAATGCTTAAAAACTCTTTTTGTTGTGCCTAAAAAAACAAACGAAACAGTGTGGCCATAGTTATGTAAGTGTGTTCTTTGCAGCGCTGTTAACTAACAGTTCTTACCTATTTTAAATACAGATATCAACGCAACCTAACCCAATTCTTTTGCATAGTTTATAGTTGATGTTTTATTTTATCTATTCCTTTATTTTGTTTAGCTAGCTAGCTTGGCATTATATATATAAATATTTTGAAATCGGCAAAAAATGTGAATATCTGGTTAAAATTGAACGAATGTTGTGTGTATTTAAGACGCATGTTTTTTAGTTAATGTAGAAGCATACCACTTCATGCTCTCACATAATGCACAACATATTCACATTTTCGGCCAAAATGCAATTACAAAAACATCAATTGAACTAATTTGAAAAAAATGACCTTTTTATGTACTCAATGCTTAACCATAAAACGCGTTACGTGTTGTTATGTCTGTGCTCTGTTTAATATGCCCGCCTGCCTGTTAATGCCTGCTCACCTGCTGCCTATCTGATCGCCCTCATTTGTGAAGGTGGCCAGAAAATTAGTGCTCATGGAACAGGATCTGGAACGTTCCGAGGAAAAAGTTGAGCTTAGTGAAAGGTTTGTCCTGCTTTATCTGTCTTTAAATACTAACTGCACTCCAGATTACGCAATTCAATCGCCACCCCAAAAGTATCGACTATGTTGACACTATTAGAAACAATACAGAAATATAAATTTATAAATATGGCTCTGAGGCAGACGAAAGAATTCAACTAAAAATACAAATCTTAGAAAAGTGAAATCGTTTCAGTGAAATGTCGTCTCCAACAACAATTGCTGTTATTATTATATTTTATTTATTTAAAAGACTGCTATGCAGAGACCTTCGTCTGGTTTGGCCAGTCATGATTTAGTTTCTTTCTTTCTGTTTTCATTTATTTTTTCTCTCTTTTTTTTGGCACTTCTGTCGCCTCCAGTGCCAAAATTTTGAAAGTAAAGTGTCAACGTTTTTTTTTTTGGCGTTGGTGATAAAAAAACGCACAAAACTTAATTTAATTACCGCATGAGATGCGCTTTTTGTTTTTGTTTTTTTTTTGCCATCGTAAATCCAATTGAACACAATTTGTGTAAAACTTGTTAACTAATTTGTGCTTTACTTTCCGATGTGTAGCAAAATTGTGGAGCTTGAGGAGGAGCTGCGCGTTGTGGGCAACAACTTGAAATCCCTTGAGGTCTCTGAGGAGAAGGTCAGTATGAAATGTTACAAAACAGTCGATATGATTGTCCATGATCGAAACAATCTATTTTTGTTCATCAAAAAAATAAATTTTTATATTTTACAATATTAAATATGTAAATCCCACACCCCATAACCAACAACTACAACAACAACAATAAATAGGCCAACCAACGTGAGGAAGAGTACAAGAACCAAATCAAGACCCTGAACACTCGTCTAAAGGAGGTAGATACAACAAAAGCAAAAAAAAAATCTGCTTGCATACGAAATTTTCGAAAGGAGTTTCCCAGAGCTGTGGAAAATGCAATCAAAACCAACCAGCGATATCTTTATATCTATATATTATTGTTGTTGTTTATGTGTTTTTTTCTATGTATTTGAGCGCACAGGACCGCTCGAAGGCTCTATAAGCCGTTGCACAACACTGGCCACGTGTGCATTCATATAAAATGTCTACCGACAACTTGTGCAACTCGTCCTTTAATCAGCCCCTAAAAATATTTGTTTGTTCTGGTTTATATACTAATTCTTATTTTATTTTCTATTTTTATTTTCATATATTTGTTAACACGCTCCGCTTAAACGTTGCTGACACAAAACCAAAATACAAATAATTATTTTTGACAATATATTTTGTATGATTTATATAAACAAAAATGATTTGCGCACTGGATTTTTGATCAACACACCCAAATGGCTTAAAACTTGCTGCCCCCACTCCTGATACGCCTTAAACTCTGCATGCATCAATAATTTGCTAAATAATTTGCAATTTCTGTTTGCCTAACCCAAAAACAATTTAATTTCCACCAATTAAACCAACGACCACAATATATAATAATAAAAATAAAAATAGGCCACACAAAAAGAGGAAACCTTTGAAACGCAAATCAAGGTTTTGGATCATTCCTTGAAAGAGGTACATGCCGAGTTTTATACCATATTGATTTCTATACATATATATATTTTTACAAATATTTTTAAACGGTTTGTGGTCTCTGGTGTTGGTAAATGCATTAACTTTATTTCCAAAACGAACACAAAAATCAAAAAGAAAATATTAAATTGCACAAATCGTTATTCTCAATTTTAAATTAATTGTACATATTCGTCACATTTGATATTTTCTTTTAATATAAAAAATAACCAAAACTAAAATACAAAAGCAAGAACAAACGCAATTGCCCAAACGTCTATGAAAGAATACAACAAATCGAATCAAAAGCAAAATCAAAAGAAAAGAAAAACTATTCAAGCAGTATCCAAAATGTATATCAATAGCGTGCATCATGGCAAGTATTTCCCTTTATAGGACGTGTGTGTGTACATTACTTGAAAATTGAAAACAACTTTTTGTGCATTGAATGCAAATGAGTCAGAAACTGACGTTTTACAACACTGCTACGTTACGGATAACTACTGCTTGGTTCTAGCAACTGTACCCAAAACAAACAAAACGACTTAAAAATTGAATTAATTCTATAATATTCGGTAGATATTTTATTGTCAAAGCACTTGCACACATTACAAACACACACACATACACACGTACACACACTCCGCACATTCTAATGATGATGTCCTAAGCACCGTTATTGATATACCAAAAATTTGTTGTATATTTCTCGACGTCTAGGCACGCGAAAATCAAAAAATTTTTGAACAGGAGCTCATTCAATTCAAATTAAATGTAGAAACTGTAAGTCGCCGCAGCATAAAGAGTTTTTTTTTTAATAAATCATTTAAATTTTGCTGATGACAGAAAACGAAATAATTTTAACAGCATTTCGAATTGGCGCCAATTTCCAATTTGCAATTATTCCTTATATGCAGTGACTGCGTAGCGTCGTACGGCGATTGTTGTAGTTGAATTAAATTAAATTATCTACACTCCCGTAAAAATGATTGTTTAATTTGTCAAATTTAGGTTTTGTCTAAACCAAAAACACCCTAAATAAATATACAAAAAATAAAAATAAAATGTAAGCACATGGATTAAGTGATCCTTTGATCACTTGTGTTATCTTCTTAATTGTTATGCATTTTAATTTGAATGTTTTTATTCGTACAACAATTTGTTTATTTATAACATTACTTATAGATACACATTCACATCAATTTAATTTAATCTAAAATATTTAAACTAATAATCATGTTTTCATATCAATTATAATATACTTACCCCGCTGGTTTTGGTAGCAAATTATTTGGGAAGCTTCTTTTAAGTATAATAATCTTAAAAATGCAAGCTCTATTTAAACACTGTGTTTTACAACACTGTCGTTTGAATAGAATTTGCATGTTAACCAATGTGAATAATGCTTGCAAAAGTTCATGTTGGTTGATTGTAGACGCTGCATTTCTGCAAATTATGTGAATGTTTTTGATACTAAAATATTTCTATTTTTCCAATTTCTGTTTACCAACACTTAAAGGCTGAGGCACGCGCTGAATTCGCTGAACGTTCCGTTCAGAAATTGCAGAAGGAAGTCGACAGGCTCGAAGGTATGTCTGCTAAAGAATATTTGCTTATAACTCTAAGACTTTAAAAGCGAAAACTTCAGAATTCTAGATATTTTCAAATAGTACAATTTATTATTATTATATTAAATATTTTTATTTGTAGCAGTATTTCAAATATAAAAGTTGTAGTTTTTTTTATAGAATATATATATATATTTATTTTTTAAATATATTTTTAAGTAGGTGCAAAATTAAGTTCCTTATACCAAATCTCAATTTCCCTTTGTTGGTCCAGATTTTCAATTATTATTTTAATTTTGAATTTTTATTTTTATTTTAATGCTTATTAATATTTTTTAATGTTTATTTTTCATATGATTTTGTTCGTTGTTGTGCTTAACCGAAAAAAAAACCAAAAACAAAAACAAATTTCAACTTGTGTGCCGCTTGTACGCTCCTCGCCTGCTGAACCGCCAACGCCCTAATGTTTACTGTTTTTATATGCATGCCACGTATTTGCCCATTTTTTGTTATGTTTAAACAAAAAAGACGACTTGTTGAACGAACGCGCCAAGAACAAACTGCTGCAGGAGGAGATGGAAGCCACTTTACATGACATACAGAACATGTAAACAATCAATTTGCAGCTTATGTAAATTAACTAAACTGCCTGCTTTGACGTCAATACAGAAAACTGGCGCTTTCCATATTATTATAATAGAAAACACAAACAAACAAACACACACACACACACACCCACACATATACCCATACTAAGGCACACAGGACAACGCCAAGTGTCTTCCATGCCGTTAAATTTTTGATAAACTTTTAAATGAAAACGTTAATTATTTTAAGCGGTAAACTCAAAGAAAAGCAGACAAGAAAGAAACAAAAACTCTTACTTTAACAAACAAAAACAAAAACAAAAATATATACAAAAATCAGAAGAAAATCTTCTGCTTCTATTAAGAGCATTCCAAAATTTCTATGAGTTTCAACATTCAGATTTTCAAGCAGTGCAAGCTGTTGACTTTCCGCCGGCCCACGTTGCGCTGCGAATGGCATGCGGTTGCTCGCAGTCATTTGGAATGGCAAAATACATAAGAATTAAAAAATGGCGGCACTTTTAAACCCTCGATGCCTTACAACACTGTTGCAATATTTTGTTTTAACTTTCTTTCTATTTGCTTTAGTTAGCCCTCTTCTACATCTTGTTCTTTTTCTTTTGATATGGATCGAAGTAATTAATAATTATAGATGACAAAAGACACAACTTGCGAATTAGTTTATGTGTAATTATTTATACAAATGTATGTGTAAAGTAAATGAAAAGGAAAGATTCGATTTGTATTTTTGTATTTTTATTTTTGTCGCCAGCTAAACTATTGTATTAATTATGCTAATATTTACTTTGTTTATACCATTTAAACAAATCGTGTTTGCAAAACGTTGTGTAATATTTGCTTACTTATAAGTTGCCACGCCTATTTTTTAGACACAAATTCACAGAAAATAAACAAAAACAAACAAAAGACAAAACACTATAAAATGACACGCACTCCATTCCAATTGCAAGCATTCATGATTAGACAGCTATTGTTAACTTTCTATATTTTATTTAAAACTTAAACTCTATCTATCTTCGATGAAAATGTGTTCTTGCCTCAAGAAAAAAGAGAGCAAGCTAAAAATAAAATGAACCTAACATAAAATGGCATTAAATGAAAGAATCGAAAATTAAATGAAAAACAATTGATTTATTTACGATTTACATAAATAAATTATTTATATTTTTAATATATACATACATATATATTACATACTATGCAAATACAATACCATGCTGCTGCAATTGCACAAATAAAGTATTTTTCAAAATATAGCAACTTTTTTAGTAACTGAAAAACAAAAAAAATCAAGACACCTGACAAACGAACTGTTTTGTTGTACTAACTAACCCAGGAACGAAGTGTTCCAACCAATTGTTGTCTCTGTTGTTGTGAAGATTGTGTACCCACACATAATTGGCTTCTTGGATTCCAGAGTTAACTAGCCATAACCAGAGCTGCCAATATTTGCACTAATAAAAATATTTTTTCAATTCTAATAACATCTAACTAACCGAAATGAACCGACCAACTAAATTACCAAACCACCGCCACCAGACGATATGATCAACGAGAAAGAGCACTATGCAATCATTAATGATAGCTTGGACTTTACGTTCGTCGAGCTTATGGGCATGCCGCCGTTCTATAACGACCGTTACCCCAAGCCGCCCACGCCCGAGCTAACCGAAGAGGAGATCGCCGCCATTGCGGCGCAGCGGGAGGCAGAGGCTGCTGCCAAGGCAGCCAAGCTCGCTGCCGAAGGAGCGGCTGAGGGGGCAGGCGATGGGGAGGGTGCAGCAATCGAAGCTATCGCAGTCGATGGAACAGTTGCCGCCGAAGCAGCAGCTGCTGCTGCTGCCATTGTTCAGGAGCCAGTGAAAGAGCCCACACCACCACCGCCGCCGCCATTTGATTACAATATTGATCTGCCACCAGAGGGCGCTGAAGTGCCATATGTAAAGAATTTCGAAGTGGGCGATGTTCCACCAGCAGCTCCTGCAGACGCAGCAGTAGCAGAGGGCGCTCCTGTAGATGACGTGCCTGTTGAAGGCGCGCCTGCTGAAGCAGCTCCTGCCGATGCACCACCTGCAGATGCACCACCTGCAGAGGCAGCTGCTGCCGGAGCACCTGCTGCCGGAGCACCTGCTGCCGAGGCACCTGCTGCCGGAGCTCCTGCTGCTGAAGCTCCAGCTGCCGAAGCTCCAGCTGCCGAAGCTCCTGCTGCCGATGCTCCTGCTGTGGAAGCGCCGCCTGCTTAAATCAAAATCGAATATGATTTCATTTGATAAACTAGTTAACAAATAATAGAAATAGATCAAAGAGGATCTCGTTATGGCTAAAGCAAATTGTGGATTGTGTTTTCCTCGTCAAATGCATGCTCATCATCCTGATTCACAAGCACACCCGCCTGCCCAGCCATCCGCTCCTCTTGCCCACTAAACTGCTGCTTAGGAAAACATTTAATATTTTTTTTCTTAGCTGCGTCTATGCTTCCTTTTCATATTTGCTATCTCCACGCCTCTCTCTCTCTCTCTCTCTCTCTCTCTATTGCTTTATCTCTGTCCCGACTGCTTGTAATGCTTGCTCACTGCCATCGCGATCGCATGCCAAACATCTCAGACGACCTAATCGTTGAAAAAGAGCGCTACTGCCTCATCGGTGACAGTCTCGACGAGGCGTTCCTGGATCTGATCAAGGGCTTAGAGCCATTCTGGACGGTGCGCAATCCGAAGCCACCCACACCCAAGCTGCCAACGCCCACGCCCGAAGAGCTGGCCGCCATGGAGGAGGCCAGAGCTGCGGCCGAGGCGGAAGCTGCTGCTGCTGCAGCTGCGGCAGCGGCTGCGGCTGGAGTGGAGGGTGCAGAGGGAGTTGTTGTCGCGGAGGGTGGTGCGCCAGTGGCAAAGGAGCCAACACCACCACCAAAGGAGCCCACTCCACCACCACCACCACCACCACCATTCGAATACTCGATCGACCTGCCGCCAGAGGGCGCTGAAGTGCCGTTCGTCAAGAATTATGAGCCACCACCACCCGGCTCTGAGCCAGAACCAGCTCCAGAGGGTGAAGCCGCTGCAGCACCTGCTGAGGGAGCTGCACCACCAGCTGAGGGAGCTGCACCGCCGGCTGAGGGAGCTGCACCACCAGCTGAGGGAGCTGCTCCTGCGGCTGAGGGTGCAGCTCCACCGGCTGAGGGTGCAGCGCCACCAGCTGACGCTGTTGCACCAGCAGCTGAGGGAGCTGCTCCGGCTGCCGAAGCAGCTGCTGCACCAGCGGCAGAAGCGGCTGCACCGCCAGCAGCTGAGGCTGCTGCGCCAGCCGCCGAGGCCGCTGCACCAGCCGCTGAGGCTGAGGCGCCACCAGCTTAGATCACCGATTATAAATCCTCCTCAATCCGCTGCGCAAGACATACAACCGCTACAAACTGCTGCCCTGCTTTTATTTATAATTTGATGCACAACAAAAGTTTTATTCACATTAATTAAACAATCTAATCGAAGCAAAGCAAAAACAAAAGAAAACACTGCTTGGCTGACTTTTTACGCTGTTTTTGTTTGCCTGTTGCATTTTAATTTTGATTTTGAATTTAACAGCTAGCGCCGCACTGCATTACCGACCACGAACGCTGCTGTTGACAAGCAGTGCAACTGCTGTCGTTTTTTATTTATTTTTGTTAAAAGAGGTAAATATATTAAGTTGGTTTTATTTTTGTCCAGATTCGAGTTTAGTGTCAGTTTAAATGTTTCCATGCAAAAAGGTTTTTTCTGTGTTTTGTAGGAGCCTTATCAATATTTATTTGTGTACCTAATTTAATTATATTTTCATTTTGTATTAATTGCAATATATATTTTCTTTACTCTCCTGTGTTCGTTTATGATTTGTCAACAATGAACAGACGACCTTGTCCTGGAGAAGGAGCGTTACAAGGATATTGGCGACGATCTCGATACCGCCTTTGTCGAGCTCATCCTCAAGGAATAAGCGCTGCTCCATTGCCCGCCTCCGAGAGCTCCACCAAAATCTATCTACACAATTTTTGCTGCACATTTATCGTTTATGTATTTCGTAGCATACTCGTAGGCGTTCTGTAAACATTTGTTGCCTGTGTAGTTACAGTAAATGTATTTAGATTTTGTTTAAAGCCTTCATTAAATTTATGTGACAATCGCATTGTGTATTTGTTTAACTCAATTTTATTTATTTATTATTTGTATTCACAATCTATGCAATAAACTAAAAAACTATATCAAAATAATCAAGTCTTTTCCATTATTTTTATTATTATTATTATTTGACTGCTGCTTTCTTAGATGAAGTGAGCAAAGGTAAGGAGAAGTACAAAACCATTGCCCAGGAACTGGAATACGCCGATCTTAATAACTATTAACGTAGCAACAAATCCAGATTCAGTTCAAACGAGATTTACAAAACGGAGTCCAATGGAGCCTTTCGTCATCCAGCTACAAAAACGTTTTACTTAAGCATTCTCACATTATAAATAATCCAAATTTTTAGCCATAAAATATATATAGAAATATATTTCAATTGGATGTTTGTATGAAACAGCTTGACTCCACAGAAAATACTGCCAGTCAATGCATGGATGGCAAATTACATGAAGTTCAGCTTAAGCCACAGATTCCTTATTTATATCTCTCAATATCTCTGAAGCCCACCAGTCAATAGCTTATTATATAATAACTTAGCTTCATATACCGCACACACTTTCTTTCGATAGAGCATTCGGTCAATTTTTTAATGGATTAAATGGAATTTATGCTTGACTAGTTGGAAAATGTATCTAAAATAAGTTGAAAATTTCTATGGCCTTCGCAAACAAATGAAATGTAAAAGAAAAACTAAAATCAATATTAATAAAATATACACATTCATAGCTTTTGTAATTGTGAAACATACAAATTCAATATGTACAAGTATTTTTAAACAAATTAAACTTGATTTATCAGTTATTAAGCGTTTCTATTTTTGTGACAAATAAATGGAAAAACAAATTCTTTTGCATAAAAATATGAAAACGAACGATTTTTTCTTTTAGTATTTGTGGAAAATTGAATAGAAGAAGTTTTCCAGAACGTCTTTCATAATGAGATTTCTAAGAGCTTTTAACTATAAATGTATATTTACTTGAAGTGAGTATAAATAACTAGTAAATATAAACAAATGATGATTTGGTAATTTAGTGATGATAATAAGGGGAGTCCTGCAAATATTTAGAATGAAGAAAATCATCGTGTATATTACTCAAAGGGTTAAAAGGAGTTATAAATGATTTGATTGATGATTCTCGAGAGGTGATAGCTTCTTCAAGTTTATAGATCTAATTCTGTCCCTGGATTTTTTTATATATTACTAGATATATATACATCTGAAGTTAACAATTTCTTAGTAGAAAGTAAAATCGAATTAAAAATATTATATACATATTTTTCGTAGTCGTATGTCGATTGATATATATATATATATATATATATATATATATATATATATATATATATATATATTAATAATAATAAGGTTCTGCTGTTGCTCATTTTCAAGTGCATAATTATTTCTGAATTAGAAGTTCTCGTTTCTTTTACTTTAGAAGAGTAAACAAAATTATTCTAAGTTCTAGATAAAAGGTTAGAATAACAAATAGAACGTTAAAAATGATGCATGTAGAAAGTTAAGTGATGCTGGAAGGTCTCGTGCTTTTTACTTCAGCTAGAAATACCCTGTATTGCTAGCCATAACCTTACTATTAAATTGCATATATGCACAGTTCAGGGTGAATAAATTGCTCAATATTTAAGATCAACATCAACTTCATTAAAAGAAAGTTAAGCTTACAATAGTAGATATATTCTCATCATATTCGTTCTATACAAATTTATACACATATATAATCAGGCAGAACCAAGCAGCTCTAACTCCATAAACTATTAATATTCCAGATGACATAGCAGAAACCAATAAAAGATTATTGTTTGGAATATTTATTAAAATATAAATTATAATCATTCTTTATACTTAAATATTTTGTTTCTATTCATTTGTTCTTGAAGCTCTAACTTCAGAAATTTTTCATTCTAGTTGTATTTTTCTTGTGCCACGTCACAGACATATATATA